GCTTCGTAGGCGTTTAAATCGGTGGGATTTTCGTATTAAGGCCGCTTTTCGTATAGTTATAGGCCTTAAAGATTCCAGGGCCTTCGGCGTAGGCTAGGAAGGCCTTCTAGTGGTCGTTTTTCGCTGTTTTAACCGCCCGGTAGTAGGCGTTTTGAGCTTCTTTCTAGGAGGCTTCTAAAGGCGCCTAGGTGGCCGAGGCCCCCTTTTTTGCCTTTCGAAAGGCCCCAAAAGCCCTGTTAGCTATTTTTCGCAGGGCTTTTAGCTTTTTAGTCTACCACGGCTTCGAACGCCCTACTACCCGGAGCTTAGGCACTAAAGCCTTAAGCGCTAGGGTAATAGTATCCGAAAGGCAGCGGCCTAAAGAATCCTAGTCCGAGGCGTTAATAGTCTATTAGATATCCTGGTCGAGGCTAGGTTTTGGGCTTTTTAGGGTGCTAGAAAACAGGTCCTAATCTGCTAGTTTATAGTTATAAGCCGGCGGGAGGGACCTATTTATAGGACCTTTAGAGTCTAAGATAGTAGCCGAAAGGAGAATAGCGCGGTGTAAAGAGATAGTGTTTTCGATATATTCCTATTTATCGAAGTGGAGATAATCGAAGCCGGGCGTGTAAAAGGCTAGGTCTATAACCGACTCTTAACGAAGATTAGACCTAAAAAAGGTCCCCCCGTTTAGGTTAACCTCTTCAGAATCCACTAAACAGGTAGCTGCTAGGCTATCCAACCAGTCTACTAAAGCCTGGACCCTAATAGAAGCCTAGTTAGTAGTTGCTCCGTTCCACTGCTAGTAGTTTCTATTAAAGTCCCCTATAATAAGGGTAGACTTAGAGACCTATAGGCCCTATAGCACTCGATCCTCGGTCTAGGGCCGGCTTCTAGGGCCTAAAAAGGAGGGGAAAGAAGAAGAAGAAGAAGAAGTGGAAGAGGTAGAAGGGGTAAGGCTAGGGGGCCGCCCTCGGCCTGTCGTTTTAGGGTCCTGTTCTATCTAATTATAGACGTGTAGAATATAAAAGGTCTATGGATAATAAACCTCTATAATCTACGCGTCTATATCGTCTAAAAGGTCTTCGCGGTGTGAAAAATCGATACTAGAGCCCTTTCTTATATAAGTAAGGACCCTAGGCTTAATAGGGAAGAACTAGGTTTTTTGGGATATAGGCGTAACGGTATAGAAAGCAGGGTGGTTTCGGATAAACCACCCTTTTAGTGTTAAGACGTAGGCTGGTTCCTGAATAAGGACTATATTAGCCGAAGCCTCTAAGGCCTATTCTAGGATAGCCTTTTACGCCGGGGCCTATTTATCGACGTTATATTAAATAAACCGGATATTTTTCGAACTAAAAGGCCCTTTATTTATAGAATTTAGGGTTTTATAGCTCGAAAGACCTCGTAGTCTCTACTAAAGGGGGGGTGATCCCCCTCGCAGTTATAGCACTTATAGGTCTTATGCTCGTAGTCTCTGTATTCTTTATACTCGTTATAGTAGTGGTATTCCTCCCCGTGGCCTTTAACGGCATAGATAGGGCAGAAAACTAGGCCTTTACAGGTCCCTCGGGTATACCCGAGTTTCTAGCAGTTAGAGCACTGGGTTCTAGGGGTTATAGGCCTATATTTATAGACCTTTAGCCGCTGGCCGGCTATATAAAGCCCCTGTTTTAGGTAGTACTTCTGTTCTTTAGTAGAGGGCATAGAAATAACCACTATGCCGTAAAAAGCGTTTAGAGCCCCTAGCCACCGAGGCTTTCCTACTACCCTAATAGGGTTAAAGGTGCCGATTTTAGCAGCTAGGTCCTATAGGCCTAGGCCCTGTTATAGGCTTCGGTTTAGGGCCTTTTACAGCGGTACGGACGGATCGGGTAGGGGGGTATCGCTACACCTAGCCCTAAAGGCTCTAGAAGGCACCTGTTTAATAATAAGCTTAAACCAGTCGCCTATAGGCTGGGGGGGCTAAAGGGGGAGGTTTAGCTCTTTAAACCACTGATTCTGCGAGTCTAGGAGCTATTAAACGCTGTATTTCGGCCCCGGGGTTAAAATAAGGTTCCCGTTAGTCGACTGGCTAATAGCCGTAACTATAGGGAATTTTAGGGCCTTATTAAGCTTATTCCGAAGCGCGAGGGGGTCGAAGTTATCCCTAGGAATCGCTGCCCCTGCCGTAGGTTATAGGATAACCTTAGGGACCTTTTTAGGGTCTATAGGGAGGGGTGCTAGGGGGGTCTAGGCCTGGGTTATAGGTGCCTAAGGTGCTATAAGGCCTTTTTTCCCCTTTATAGCCTCGCTATAAAGGGGTTTAGGCTATTCTGTAAGCCTACGAACTGCCTAGGCTAGTTCGTCGACCTTCTATTCGAGTGCGGGAGGCTAGGGGGCTTCTAAAGCTCCGTCGATAGCAGATTTAAGCCCTACGGATAGGGCTTTAATCTAGGGGGCAGGGTTAAGGGTATAGGCCTATTAAAGTAGCTAAAGAGCCTGTTAGAGTAGTTCCTTAGCCTATGCCTTACTAGCCGAACTAGTCGACTTCTGGGGCTTAGCCGAGGTTTCTCCAGGGGCTTTAGCTGTTTCGGGCACCTTTTTAGCCTATTTAGAGCCTAAAAGGCTCGGTTTTTCGGTAGGGGGGGCCCTAGAAGCAGGGGGCCCCTAGAGGACGTTTCGAAAGCGCCTTCGGCTTCCGAGTCCGAGGGGGATTCGATTCGGGTCCTAGAAAACCGTCTAGGGATAGGTGTGGAAAGGCTAAGGTGCCTTTTCGAATTCAGAGGCGTAGTAAGGGTTAAATCCTCGATATTTTCAGAGGTATTACCTATATCTACCTCCCTAAGGCCCTCTATAGTTATAGGGGCTTTAGGGGGGGCGTTAGGGGCGTTAGGGGCGTTATTATAGCTAGCTTTATGGCTAGTGGGTTATTGGTTATAGCGTTATGGTTGGGTGGAGGTCGGGGGTGCGGCTCTGCGCGGCTGCTTTATTAGCGTGGGCGCACGGGCCACATCAGACTTTTCCCCCGCACGCGGGGGAGCAGGCCCGTTTCCAGGCATTTTCGCACTTATAATACGCCTAAATTAGCGCCTACGCGGAATAGGGCTATAGATAGGCGTATAGAGCTTGAAAGAGCTATCGATTGATATAGGTTTCGAGTGGTTTAGAGCGTTTGCGCGTAAAACGTAGGTCCCCCCACGTGAGGTGTAAGAAGGATGAAGCAGCACCTATCGCGTCGTATATATTGATGTTGGACACCACCTCTTAGTTCATCATCAAAAAACCGTTCCAATAATAAGATTCCTCGCCAACCCCCCCGCCCCCCAACTAACCAACTAACACCCGTTGCAACGGTTTCAACCGTTCCATGTCTCAAAAGAGTTTGGCGGCGCTCGCCTACGACCAACGGTCCCCTCTTTTGACATGTTATCCACACCTCATCTGGGTTCTGGGTTTCCGCGTATCCGAATTTTGCGGATTTGGGCACCAAAAACCTCGGATCTGATACATCCGAGGATTCTACGGAGTAACATCGAGGCCTTGTTTGCCCTCCAGCCAACAGAACCGCCATACTAAGCGAAGCTCTGTCTGTGGCTGTTGGTGTTCGGACTTTGCAATCGGGCATTTGATGAACGAGACGTTTGCGAGGGGCGTCCTGTCATCGAAGGTACTCAAAGTCATTTCTGGGAAGTTGTCAAAGCACGGATGGGGCGGGCTGTTGAACTGTTGGTGTCACAGGTGACTTACACCTCCAACGGTCGGCTGCGCGTCGGGATCCCGGGTCTGGTGGTATTACAGCTTTTACTTCAATACGATAGGAACCTCTCGGCGCATTCCTTTGGCAGAGCAGAAGAGAGAGGTATCCAGGAATCGGATCAACTCTGCTCAACAGTCGGCGTCTCAGCACCATATCCCATACAGCCCCTCGCCGTCAACTACCTCACCGTTCTCATGGGTGGCCTGTCTCCATCCATTCGGGGCCGATGCATCCCTTCGCCATTCCGTAAGTGGGAAGTACCGCTCGCACTTCTTTATGGTAATCGTAAAGGGGGCGAGATCGTATGAGACGCATCGAATCCGGAAATCTACATGACCACTTGGGTTAGAAAGAGGCTGGGCCGAGAGGCAACAGAACACGGTCCATTTTCCAATACTCCGACCCAGTCTGGAGCGGAGCAATGGAAACAGAAGGCGGAGGAGGAGGGGTACCTACATATATTATCCGGAATCGTCCTGGCGACCTCAAGCAACACATCGAGATTTGGCGTCAGAACGTCGTTGACGTGGGTGATGAAGCTCATGCCATTGAGACCATACACACTGGCAGGCGTTCCAAAGTTCTGCGACGCGACATACACCTCGCTGGGGAGGTTCTTGATTTCCTGCCTCACAGCCTGGTACGGTCTCTGCAGCACCGCACCACAAAGTACCACGACGTGCGACGTCTCCATGCCGCCGTCGTCGTCGTGCGGGACGGTGCGGACGTCGACTCTAACCTCGCGGCCGCCGCGGGAGACGACGAAGCTGAGCGTCTCTTTCCGGTAGGCAATGTCCAGCTGTTCGACGCGTGTGACGGGCTTGTCTTCCAGCGTGAGGAGGATGTCCCCCTCGCGCAGTCCGTCTTCCTCGGAGATTGCCGAGTCCGGGTCAATATAGTCGGATGCACCGCCGTCCTCTGATGCATGGGTCGTTCCTAGATGCATGATCCGCCTGACCGAGAAGAACCGGTGCGCGGCTTCGTCGTCTGCCTCTACCTCAGCGATCCGTTCCGGCGATACGCCCCTCATGCGAGCCTGGAGCTTCGAAATTGCCACCAACTCCGCCGGGAGCATCCGGAGCCTGGGCACGGTCTCTCCACCGGCGAGGAATTCAGAGAGCGCATTCAATATAGTCGGGCCGGGGAGTCCGTAGCAGACCGTCGAATCTCCCGACGCGGTTTCCTGCCACACGGCCAGGACCTTACCATCTATCAGAGACACGAGAGCGCCGCTGCCGCACCGGCTCCCCCAAATCGTATCCACGCTGACCACGTTCGTGTTGATAGGCCGGTACCCAGGCAGAGAAAAGGTATCGATATCGACCAGCACGGTGGAGGTGACGGTGGTAGGCGCGCAACTCATTTCCAGATCATCGGAACCCCCGACGAAAACCCCGGCGTCGCCCGCCTCGACCTGCTCCTCCGACAACTTCGCCGAGCGGACCGGCGCGTCGACCAGGGCGGCGTCGTACCGGATAAGACAGTACCCTTGCGTCGGGTGAAGGAAAATCACTTTGGCGGGCACGACGATGGAGTCGGCGATGGTGACGGTGACGTCGCAGAGGCTGCTGCGGACGAGGTGGCGGGATACCAGCACGATACCCCTCGCGGCGTCGAGGACGAGGCCTGCGCTCTTGTAGCCTCGTAGTCCGCTGCTGTCGATCAAGACGTGAACGGGCGTGGCGCAGTGGACTTGGACGATGCTGCGGGTGATTTCCCCGACGGTGGCTTCGACGTTGGTCTGTTGTTGTCTTTGTCTCCTGGGTTTCGGGAACGCGGCTTTAAACGGGCGCTCGGGGGCAACGGGGGGGAGGGCGTCTGCGAGGAGGGTGAAGTCCCATAGTCCGGTGGTGTCGTTTCGCGTGACGAGCTTCATCTTGGAGGGCCAGTGGCGGTTGATCGGGATGACAGCCGTGCGGAGGGTGTGCCTGTTGCTGATCTCCCGGTACGTGAATGTCACCCTGGCACGATCGGGAATCCTTCTCATGACATCGATGAAGGTGTCAAGGTCAGGGGTGGCTTCGTGGTCGATGCTCACGATGAGCAATCGGTCCCGACTGGGGAATTCCATCGACCCGCGCTCGCAGAGAAACACGCCCCTGCAAGGGAGGCAGTATATCTGGGCCGTCGCGTAGGAGAGGGTGTGAAAACCCGCTCCAGCAACTGTGACGAACCGGTCCGGCGTGGCGAGGGAGAGGTCTTCGACGAGGACATCCTCCTCCACCTTGTGGTTCCCCCTCTGCACGAGAAAGCGAACGGTCTGGCCAATGTTGTTGTCGAACACGCTGGCTAGTTCGAGGAAGCCCACGAGTTTCCTCCCATTGATGGTGAGAACGATATCTCCCTCCCGGATCTTCCCGTCGGCAGGGCCCTCGGGGACGACGGTGTTGGCGACCAGCATGTTGTTGGTACCGACGTCCGGGTACGCGGCGCGTACGTCGGCTTCCCATTCGTCGGTGAGGCCGAGACGACGACACTCCTCGAAGGTCCTGGTGAGGAATACGCACCTCACGTCGCCCCTGGGCACGGGTAGGCCGTCCCTGATGCGGTGGAGGGCTCGCAGGGGCATGTCAAGGGGTAGGAGGTAGTCGGTGGAGGAACCGTCGACGCGGCCTCCGGTCATTATGGCGACGGCGTGGCCGTCCATGTTGATGACGGGGCTGCCGGAACTGCCGCCCGAGCCGTCGGCGTTGGCCTGGTAATAGCATGTGTTGAAGTCAAAGGAGGGCGCGTTGCGGTCGACGCGGCTGATAAAGCCGGAGAGGATGCCTAGCATTTCCCCGCTGTCGTTGCCGAGGATTTTGATCTCGACGCCGACTGTGAGGAGATTAGGATGTGTCGGTTGACTCGGTTGGGAAGGGGATATCTCATATAGCACAAATTGCACAATTGATTCGGTGGTGGCCCACCTTTTGCCCGGTCAGGACGCAACTCTATGGAAGAAACTTGGGCGTATTTCACGGCCTCGGGGTCGTAGCGCAAAAACCCAAAGTCGTGAACGGGATCACGATACATGGCGTAGGCATCGACCTCGTCCTGGTTGTGGAAGATGATGCGTCCCCAGAACGGGCCATGGCCGACGACGTGACGGTTGGTCAGGACATACCTTGTGCACCTTGTCAGTAACACCACATGCATGTTAGAGAAATAGACTTGTCTAATCAGCTCACCCTTTTTCGGCGTCAACCACGAAACCGGTCCCACTGCCGGTATGGGCATCGGTGCCGTCAAAGGCGTGGGGCTGTGATAATTGGATGCAGACGACGCTGCCGGCGACCCGTTCGATGGTTTTTTCCCAGTTGTCAACCGGTTTTACGGGGACCGGAGTTGCTGTTGCATCGGTTGTGTGGTGTAATAGCTGGCCATTGCCGCCATTCCCAGAGTGGGCATTCCGGGCGACCGTCTTGATGATTTGCATTGATGCGTCTGGGGTTGTCGCAAGTCAGGGGCGATGAAGTTCAACTCCAGCTTGGTTCCAGAACCTATTTTTCTTCTTTATAGTTTTTGTCTGTCTTTCTTCCCTCGTTCCTGTTCCATTTATGAGTTCAGACGGTGCTATGCCCGTTATATATATATATATATATATTGGGTAAAGGTGCATGCAGGCGCAGCATGTGTAGTAAGTGTTGGTCAGGCTGCTCAGGCTCGAGCCTGACCCGGGAAGCGGCAGCGCATAATGCATGTGAGTTAATTTGCTGGATGAGCCACAGTCTGACGTGCGTCTCTAGCAGACATGGATAGTGGTGGTTTCGGTGTCAGCAAAGGGTGGATGAAGTTGGTGAATGGTCAGATTCGGGTGGTGTTGCAGCCAGGACTCAGGCGAACATGCATGTGAGAGTCTGACAGAGACCTCATGATGTTTCATTGCTGCATTATATGATTACTCGGTATATATTTGTTCTTCCTTTCTAAATATAATTTTCGGTTTCTTTTCCTGTTTCTCCCCTTCCCTCTCTCTCCTTTTACCCCTTTTCCGACAATTTCCCATGTCCCCCACCCGACCGACGGAAAGGTGGGGGAGACTGGGGTCAAGCGTCCGGCAAGGTCTCCGAATCACCTCTTGGAAAAGATCTGTTTCTTAACCCGCTCTTGGTTAATAAATATTACACTACTGTCCACGTTTGACCTCTATGATTCTCGCCAATATTTGATGTCCTTCCAGCACCCCTATTTTAGAGACACTATACGGTACGGAGGATGGAGTCCCAGAGAGCCCAGACTCCTATTCCCCACGGAACCCCCATAAACCCCCACAAACCCTGATTCGTCCAGTGGGGTTTTAGGGCGTGGGTTTGGCGGTCATAGGCGTCAATAGGCGTCGAAGCAACCCCACGGAAGTCACGGACGGCTGCCCAAAGCCGTCAATGTCCCCCCATCTTGCCATTTCATTGGTGGGAGTTCCGGGGCTGTCGCTATAATTGTGGCCCGGGCATCGCTCCGATTTCCGAACCCCGGGGCGAAGAAGACAAAAGAAAAAGACGTCAGAGGCCCCTCGGATTGGAATTTGCAGGAGGGGGCGGCTTTTGCAAGACACTTTGACTGATGCATCTTTTTCTTTTTGTATGACCTGGAGACGAATCCATCTCGCATTACACCTACAGGCTACAGGCTACAGGCTACATCCTACATACCCAACATCTCTCGGACAACCGGGCAATAAATTAATAATTACACTCAATTCCCTCAACACACGATGAAGCTTCTCTACCCCACCTCCCTTAAACTCGACGTCTCTAGCCTAGAAGGCTTCTCCGTCTCCCTCCACCCTTACGACGTCAAGCAACCCATCCCCGACGACCTCATTGACGCCGACATCCTCGTCACCTGGACCAACTCCCCCACAAACCTCCAAGATGCCGCCGCCCGCATGAAGAACCTCCGCTGGATCCAATCCCTCGCCGCAGGCCCCAACGACGTCCTCAGCGCCGGCTTCGACACCGAGAACCGCGTCGCCCTGACCACCGGCTCGGGCCTCCACGACCACACCGTCGCTGAACACGCCCTCGGGCTCCTCCTCAACGCCGCCCGCCGCTTCTACGAGATGCGCGACTACCAGCTGCAAGGCAAGTGGCCGGGTCACCTCGGCGGCCCGCAGCCCGACCGCCCGTCCGACAGGTTCACCACGCTGCGCGACGCCCGCGTGCTGATCTGGGGGTTCGGCAACATCGCCAAGTCGCTGACCCCGCACCTCAGGGGTCTGGGGGCCACCGTCCGCGGCGTCGCCCGGTCCCCCGGCATCCGGGACGGCGTGGAGGTCGTCGCAGAGGAGAAGCTCCCCGAACTGCTCCCGCAGACGGATGCGCTGGTCATGATTTTGCCCGGGTCGGAGTCGACGCGCCATGCTCTTCATGCCGAGAGGCTCGCCTTGCTGCCGAACCATGCCTGGGTGGTGAATGTCGGGCGCGGCACCTCCGTCGATGAGGACGCACTGGTCGAGGCCCTGGAGAAGGGAGAGATTGGTGGCGCTGCGCTGGATGTGTTCGAGACCGAACCGTTGCCGGAGGATAGCAAGCTTTGGAAGGCGCCCAATGTCATCGTCTCGCCGCATGCTGCGGGAGGCAGGCCGCAGGATGCCGAGGCTCTGATTGCGTACAACCTGAGGAGGTTCCTGGCCGGTCAACCGTTGAAGAACCACCACCGCACCGAGTCTTCCAGTCGGCTATGATGGAATATTGTCACGACTTTGATGGACATGCATGTTTGTATGTAGGTTAGAATTTGGTGATTGATCATTGCATGTGATCATTGATTTCTTTCTCTCAAACAGCCCGATATTTTGAGAGTGACGACACTGTCTATACAGTCTTCGTCCAACTCACAGTGCCCACCTCTTATCACGGCATCCCATCATCATCATAATGGAACAACCTCATAATAGCTGCCGCCACCGCCCGCCCATCATGTTCCAAGTGCCCCGTCTCCGCCGCCCGATCCGCATGCTCCCAATCCTGAATCGACCCCGCCTCCACCCTCATCTGGATCTGCCTCCGCACCATGGCCTCGTCAAACGCGAGGTGCGCTTGCGACGTGAAGAGCCGGTTTTCGCAGTACAAGCCCTGCACGGCCGTGTGCGGCGACGATCCCCACACCTCGACGCGGGGGCCGTCTTCCGACAGCAAGCCGCCCGATTTCTCGGGTGTCGGCGGCGCCACCACTTGGTCCTGGTGCATCTGATGCAGGTAGATCTTGTCGTCGCGGGTGCGGAAGAGCCGCTGGCCGACGGGCTTGAGGTCGATGGCGCAGTGGCCTAGTTCCCAGTCGCCCGAGGGGGCGGGGCGCACTTCGGCGCCGAGGAGGCGGGCGATGATTTGGTGGCCGAAGCAGACGCCTGTGAAGTGGAAGTCGGGTCGGCGGGTCCAGAGTTCTGCGTGTGTTAGCGGGGAAAAAAAGAAAAAAAAAAAAAGGAAAAGGAAAAGAGAGAGAGAGAGACCAAGGCACCTTTCAAGAGATCCAGCAGCTGAAGGATCCACGGATCCTCCCCATGCGCATCGTACACACTTCCTGTGATCAAAATCCCGTCGTAAGGTTCCAGGTCGGCGTAGGTAGGCATGGTACCGCCCTTCTCGGTGACGATGAACTGTTGCGACACTTCGACGCCCAATGGGGGGTGGTGATCCATGCCGGCGCGGTAGAAGTGGTGGAACACAATCTCGCCGAAGGAGCCTCTTTCCGTCTGCGTGTCGGGATGCGGCTCGTCCGTCTCCAGGACGAACAGTTTGACCACGTCGGCGTTGGAGTTTGGTCGGTAGGAGAGCGTCATGGCAATGTCGAGTTGGGTCAGTTGAACTGCGGTGAATATAAATTACATGTAATATATACTGTATGAATGTATGAAGGTAAAGGTATTCTGAATTGAAAGTGATGGTGTTTTGAGAATATCAAGTCGGGAACTGAAGCTGATGGAGATTAAGAAAGCGACGATGTACGTCAATTATATCCAAGCCTGTATGAGCCGAGATGTACTGAGCATTGGTAGAGCTGACGCGTTCAGAAATGGTCCAAGGGAAAAGACGACACTCGATGCGTGTCGCCAAGTGAGAATGCCTTGTCCACCAAGTACTAACTCTACTGAAAGTGTACTTGACCCCTGAGACTTCAAGTTGGAACCATTGTATCTGACGTCACACCTAATTAGCGGCCGACCCGGTAGATTTCTAGGGCTGTTGATGGAGAATTAACAGGCCTTTGCCGTATAATAAGTGGATATTCTCTGTCTCGGCGCCTTGGAACCTATGACGACAAGATCCAGACTTTTACTCGTGTTCCTTTCTGTTTTCGGCTGGTCATTCCCTTGATCTTCCTTTATTTCTTCCCTTTTACTTTTTACTTTATTTTCCCAAGTCGAGTTGTCACTCCGACCCGGAATCCCGGGTCCGGTCCGCAGGGACCGGACCGTCGCTCGGACCACGTCCCGACAGTGTCCAACGTCTTCCAACGTCACCCAACTGGATCGTCAGGGACACTGGCAATTTAATGTCATAGAGGTCAAGAATTACAATCAGCTTTGGCTTTGTTGTTGTCCAGGTGAAAAACTACACCCATAATCCTGCAGCCAGTCCTTGATGAAATAAGCACCAATGCATATTGCATACCGGCGGCCCGGCCATCATGTAAATTGCTGACATGACATGGTGTGAACGAACGTCCTCCGCCCTTTCGCTCCATCTCCCCTCTTCATCATGGCCTGGGATTACCGTAAGGCCAACTCCCGTCGTAAGCAGAGCTGGTGGTACTGCGGATGCCCTTATCGTCCCGCATGCACATCATATAGTTCGCAGGTCCGCATGATATACAATTGGCTGCAGAAAAGCCAGCCTTCATCTTCTCGAATAGAATATCTGGTGTAAGTCAAGGGTCAACCCATGAACATGTGGTCTCTCACATCAAGTTTAATCATTGCCAACTTCATATTTTCATTGGCTGGGCATAATACAGAAGACCTGCAGGTGCAGTAGTGTAGTTCATGACCAAACTTGATTGAGATAAGATGCCACACCTTCGCGTGCCCATGCGTCTGGTCCCCCAATCATCATTGCTTTCAATCCACACACTGCAGTAACCTCGTGATATAGGCAGCAGTCGGGGGGCGCACATCTGATGGTAGCACCCGGTAAAGGTAGATATCGAGTCGAAATATGACTCTGCATTAATACCATTACTCGACCTCCATTTTTGATCCATCTACACGTATGATATAGTAAAGATACGCCTCTTCTCACGTCCTCTGTATGAAATCACGGCTCCTTATCTGGTACGCAAGCATCTCGTGCTTTCTTTCGAGCCTCTGCACCAAAGAGCTATACAACCGAAAAGAAATATCAAAGCGGCGGGTTATCAAGAGTAGCATGCGTCTCTCCCTGCCCGACGTCGACAAGACGCAACCTCTCTCCCACCTATCACCTCGACAAGAACGAACAACCGACGGGTCACTTTCAAGCCTCCAAATTGGGGGCATCCTGGGCGGGATATTCGGCTTCGTCATCCTCGTCCTCGCCATATGGTTCTGCACTTTGCATGACGCCCGGAGGCGCAGACACCGGCAGAGGCGGCAGCGGATATACGACTCTTCGACTTGCTCCTCATCCGACACGTCCCATCTCGAATCAAGGCGAGCCAGGAGGGATAGGAGGCCGCAGCCGGGACCACCAAGGGCAAAGAAACCCGCTGCGCATGTGCACTTTATGCCCCAGCCGCCGCCGCCGACGTTTCATGTCAACCAGGCCCAGCCGTGGGCTCCAAAGTATGGTGGACCGAAGCGATATTATGGATGAGAAGAGGCATGCCATGGGTTGGCAGGGGGCTTTAAACTTCAGCGACGTGTTTTCATGGGCGGCATCTCATTTCAGACTTTAAGCGTGGTCCTCGTGCCAGGGAATGTCTCTTATGTCTACCTTACGGTTTCCTTGGGCGCAATAACTTGGGATAGCAGATATGCTGTGTTGATAACTCCCAGTGTTTATAGGCGGGACAAGACGATACAAATTCATACCCAAACAACAGACACCTGACTGATCCTAGCTAGCCCCTGAATAGCCTGTACTGTGAATACTGGTTCTGGTTCTCGTCTCACACTCCTTGCTGCCAGCTTGAGACGTATATATGCCTTTAGGGCAACTCGCCAGTCACATTCCAATAGGCATTGTAGTTGAACCCCTGAGCGGCGTTGAACGCACCAAGCAACACAGACCCAGTACTAGCAGACCCCTCAAACTGGAGGTCGGTGTGTCCACTGTCCAGGCGCCGGATAGAACCTAGGTCGAGCGATGGCCTTTCCGCCAACTCCTCGTCGCCGTAGTTCCCAGCCAGAATAGTCGGACCGAAAGCCACAGAAGCGACGTTCGGGTCATCATTTGCAGGGATGAGACGCAACGACATGGGAAGCCGAACAGACACGACATCCCCATCCTCCCACCGCCTATCGACGACAGCATAAGAGCCCCCCTCAAAAGTACCGTTTACACGTTGTCCGTTGACCGTAATCTCGGAATCCTCCGCCCAAGCGGGAATTCGCACTCGCAGGACAAACTGCGACGCTCCCCTCTCGAACGTGAGCGTCGTGGTGTCGTCGACAGGATACCTCGTCGTCTGGCTCACCTGCACCCCGCGCTGGGACCAATCCAGCCTCGAGGCGACAAACAAGTTCACGTAAAGCGACTCCTCGTCATGGAAGTAAATCGAGTCCATCAACTTGGTGTTGGTCTCCAGCGCAGTGCCCTGACAACACCAAAAAGAGTCGTGGTCCGTCGAAAACGTGCCTCCCCCCCAGGCAGGACCAACACCTCGTCTACCCCCGGGGTTCAGGGGCGTGAAGTACGTAACGTGGCCATGCTCGCTCGTCGGGTCCTGTTGACCGATCAGGTGATTCAGCATAGCAACCTCGTAGAAATCAAAATACTCCGTATCCCCCGGCGTCAGCGTCCAGAGCTCCCGCGTGAGCTTCAGCATGTTGTAGCTGTTACACGCCTCAGCGGCGTCGTCGTGGAGGAAATCCACAATGGCGTCCGGCGCGCGAAAGTGCTCCGCCACACTGTTCGCCCCGATGGCGTACGAGTGCGCCCACACCGTCATACGCCAGGCATTACGGGCAATTTCGAGGTACCGCTCCTCCCCCGTGGCCTTGTACTCCAGCGCGGCGCCGATCCACTTGGGGATCTGCGTGTTGGCGTGGAGACCCTCCAGCTCATCCCGGCCGGCAGATAGGGGGTCGAACAGGCGCTCGTGGTCGAACCGCCGCGCGAGGGCGATGAAAAGCTCCGTGTCCTCGTCCGGGAGGCGGCGCGCCATGTCGGCGAAGATCTCGTTCATGCCGCCAAACTCGGTCTCCAAGGACTCCTGCATCTCGTCGTGGCTGAGACGGCTCGTGCAGACGTCGATCCAATCCGTGATGCCCAACAAGACGTCGAGGGCCTGCTGGTTGCCCATGTGCTGGTACACGTCCAAGAGGCCGGCCATGGTCTTGTGGATGGCGTAGTACGGCACGTTCCCGTTGTCGAGGGTGCGGTTCTCGACCTTTTCGATCTCCGACTCGGGGAACCCGCTGAGGTAACCCGGAGTGAAGCCCACGGCCTCGTTGTTGGCTTGGCACTTGGCCAGTTCCTCGACGACGTAGGCGGCGCGGTCTCGACATTCGTCGTCGTCGAGGACGGCGTAGAAGTGTGCCCATGCGGTCAGGAAGTGGCCCTGGAAGTGGCTGCGGAAGGGGAAGTCGGGGGCATCCCAGCCGCCGTTGGGCTCGGCGCCCTGGGTGTCGAGGCCGTGGTTTTCGCGGAAGACGTAGAGGATCCGGTCGAGGTCGATCCATTTGGCGTATGTCAGGGTGCGCTCTTGGTAGCTGACCCAGTCGCCGTCGCCGAGGGAGAGTTGGCTGAGGTGGAACGGCGCGGCCAAGTCAGGGGCTGCACTCCGGATGGCATTGGACCCATGGACGTCGAGAGCGGCAATGCCCAAGAGGAGGAGGCCACTTTGCGCAGCGGGATGGACGAGCTTCATAGTATCTCAAGTTCTCAGCGGAACAGACAGAAGGACTTGAAGGACTGCCAGAGATATCAGTGGTGCTCACCGTGTCGTGGGCCATAAAATTCAACCTCCATATCACGGCTGAACCCCTTTTATAACCCTGCTGTCCTGAGAGGCGTTTCGCAGTTCTTGACTTGTGCTATCACAGTGTTCTTGCTGTCTACAAGTTAGGAGGAGCCCATCTTTACCCGCACCAAGCACATCTCGGCAGATGTGCAGATCTCAACTGCCCCGCGGTTCTTCCCCAGAATCCCCATGTAACCCCCCGTATGGGTGATGGAGGGAATCGCGGAGAAAATATACCGGGGAATCGGAATATTGAAAGACGAGGGCAGGGGACGTCATATCTGCAGACTCCGCTTGATGATTGTCTGCAAGCCAAGAAAGTTGAGGTTATTGGTGCGGCACTGCGGCAAGTGCATTGGCCTTTGGTGGATGTCCACGAACACCACATAAGATCGCCACCCTGTCCTTGAGGGACCTGAAATAAGCCCGGCAGTTGGCACATGTTGCTGGATATCCTCTCGGTGTACTCAAAGTGATTCCACCACACGTAATATCGCACGAGATACATGCCCCCCTGACATATCAACAGGTCCGACTCCTCACTTAGCCGCAGACTCCTTGACAAGTCGCACCACAACCTGCTTTACGTCCTCATCGGCCAACCCAAGCAGCTTGTTCGCTCTTTCTTCAGGCTGTAGCACATGCTTGCCCCCGTCGGCAAAGAGATAATGGAACAGCGAATCGGAGAAAGCTCCTCCAAAGTCCCCCTTGGCGATCTTGTCTTCGGCACTCTTGTCCAGGTCCTCGCTGCGTACCTTCGTGATCTTGAACTCCTGCCCCGTCGCCTCCTGCAGAACCTTCACGACCTCGTTCTGGGTCGTTGTGATGCCGGCCACGTGGAGGAACTTGTTCTTCGTCTCCGCGGGCTTCTTCAGAGCCGCCGCCACGGCGCGTCCCACGAAGGGCAACGTTGACGTGGAGTAGGGCTCGTCGCCCGAGTCGACGACGGTTGCCGTCTTATCACGGATGTTGTATCCTATGCCCAGGTCGATGGACTGCGATGGTAACAATGTCAGCACATGTTAGTATCAAAAGAAGACACAGCACATACCCAGTCAAAGAAGAGCCCATTGGAAATCCCAGTCCAGCTAAACCAGTCGTACTTCTTGCTGAGTTCGATAAGGCGGTCTGTGGTCTCAATCTTCCCGGCGAGCAGCTTGCCTATCTTATGCCCGTTGAGATTCCGCGTCGGCACCCCAAACTCGGAGGGCACGAACCGGGGAACATGAGCCGCGATGACGGCATCGACGAGGGGATTCTGTGCCCCGGAGACGGCAGCGTTGGTGCCAAGGGCGGAGACGAAGGCGTCCTGGCCTCGGATGGCTTCTGCGATGCTGTCGACCGAGCTGAAGTCCGCCCGCTTGACCGAGACCGCCGAGGGGAACTTGGCGGACGAGTCTTGTCTGGAGATGGCGGTGACGTCGAAGCCTGCGTCGAGGAGAGCCTGGGTGATGTGCTTGCCCAGAGAGCCAGATGCCTGTGTGGTCCAGGGGTTAATAACTTAATGGCCAAAGAAAGGAAGGGAGAAAAAAAAGGAAAAGGGCTCAGGGGCTCAGGGGCTCAGGGGTAGGCACATGTACTTACACCGGCAACAGCGACTTTCTTGATGGTGGACATTGTGGATCTGGGGCGCGAATGAATAAACGCCGTTGTATAAGGTATACTTCGGTTGTAAGTTGCAATATGGGATCCAAGGGGTAAATATGTGACGATAGATTGGTGGTGAGAAGTATGAATTATACGGTTAGAGGAGACAAGATGAAAGTTGTTGAGAAGATGAGATGCTTGCATGTCTGAGATGAGTGGCGGAATTCCGGCCTTCATATAGGAGTATCTGAACGACGCTCAATAGCACAAGTTCTGGTGCGCATGGCATCATCGCATCATGGATTCATAAGCTTTGGTCTGGTCGGGGACTCGGGTCTGCACTTAGTATCTAAGACGCTGATAATCACAGATGCCGAACGTTTTGAGCACACTAACCAGGGAGGGGAAACGAAGACAAAAAGGTCAAGATGGAAGAAAAACGAAGGCCATGACCTGTTATTATGGCCTTGCCTAGACCGGCGATGGCCGACGAGAATCAACTGGATTGATTATACACCTCGTTAGAAAGCAGCAGAAAGATACCGAAGCCTTCTCTGCCCCGTGCCATTTTCAGGGTGCATCAGTCGGATCCCTAGCAAGTAATGGTAAGCAAGTCAAACTGTCAATTTTGTCTTCTCCACGACATATTCCGCCATAATTCGTAAGACTTACCAATCCGTCACTAGATTCTCATCCAGCCTGTCCATTTTGACCATGTCCTCGGCAGAGATCTCGAATCCCCCGACGTCGGCGTTCTCGTCTAACCTCTCTTTTCGAGATGTCTTGGGTAGTGTGACAAAGTTATGCTGCAGTGACCACCTAGAGTGCAAATAGAGTATCAGCAAACCGTCGAGAAAAAAGAACATAATAATGATAAAAGGTCGACGAAAAGAGAAGAAAAGAAATCGTACTCACCTCACCAGCAACTGCGCAGGCGAACACGCATACTTCCCCGCCAACCCCACAACCACCGGATGCCGCATCCTCATCCCCCTGGCCAGCGGCGCATACGCCTCCACCACGATCCCAAACCTCGCGCACGTCTCCCGGATCCCCGCCTGCGTGTTAAACGGGTGCACCTCGATCTGATTCACCACCGGCCCAATCCGTGGCCCCGAGCCCATCAACTCCTCCACATGCCTGACCCCGAAATTCGACACCCCGCCCATCCTCACCTGCCCCTCCGCAATCGCATCCTCCACCGCCCTCCAACTCGTCAACCGCGCCTCCCTGCCCCCATAAGGGCTGTGAAGCAGGAACAAATCCACATACCCCAGCCCCGAAACCTCCACCGACCCCCGAATCGACCGCCGCACCTCCTCATACGAAGTGCTGTTGCTCGCCAGCTTCGTCGTGTAAAACACATCCTCCCGCTTCAGGCCGTCCTTGTTGGCATTCTTGTCGTCGAGGAACCCCCGGATCGCACGCCCGGCCTCCCGCTCGTTGTGGTACACCTGCGCGCAGTCGAACCCGCGGTACCCTGCCTCCAGCGCCCACCGCACCGACGTCGTCGCTTCCCGCCCGGACATCATGTAGAGGCCCAGCTGGATCTGTGGGATGGTTTCGCCGTTGGCGAGCTGCAGAACAGAATCGGTCATGTCAGCATCATGACGACAAAAAAGCGCCGAAACGGGGCTTTGGGGGGATTCTCAAAGGGGAGAGCCAAATTCTACTAACCTTGATTCGAGCGGCCAGCGTCTTTGGGGCCGCCATGGTTAATTGCTCCTTCGTTGACTCGTTATCGCGAAGAAACTCAACGGAACAGGCGAGAACAGTTACAACTTCAGAGTCATGTGAACGAGACAACGGACAGAGAAGATCACAACGTAGGACCATGTCATGACATCAACGGGTCGGTAATCGGATCCCGAAATGCGGGGTGGTGGGGGTGGTGGGGGAACAAGGCAAGGAGGGGCACAGGGGCTTTAGCAACGCAACATCACCGGGCGTCGGACAAGACAACCTTCCTTCAGGGGACAGACACATGCGACACTTCTACCATCCACGGACCACATCCCGCCATAACAGCCTTCTTTTCCATATCATCTATTTAAAACCCACCAAAAGCATATACAATGAATCTCTCTGGTGTATGATGCATAGGGTGAGTACGTATGTTCATGATGGCGAAGAGGTAGCCAAGCCGTCAACGGTCATCCCTGTCCAGATTGTCCTAATCTGGCGTGCGCTGGACATCGTACCATCCATGACATGGCTGTGTGCCCAAGGGACCAAGGGACCAAGGGAAAGAAGCCTCCACGCGACACTTAGGACACTAGGATCCCGACTTTAGGGGAAATAGCGTCGGCCAGGTCGAGTCCATCTCCTCCAACGACGTCCTGCATGCCGCAATTTCCTCCTCCACCATGCCCTGGCACGACTCCCCGGGTTGGTGACCGCACGCCCGCTTGAGTGCACCCGCGGCTCAAACGGTGCACCGCCACGGTTCGTGTGCTCCTGCTGCATTTCCTGCAATTTCTGCATTTCCATCTCCGGACGCGCCTCATCGAAGACCCGGTACTATTCGAGCCTGGTGCTGAGGGGCAGCTTGCGCGACGAGTTGCCGACGTAGATCGTCTTCGGATAGTCGCTCACCACCCAGTTCTGCGTCACCACGTCCCAGTTGCTGAGGTCGCGCCGCGTCAGGTCGGCCCGGAACGTCTCCGACGTGCCGGGATCGATGCGAATGCGTTCGAAGCCGCGGAGCACCTTGGGCGCGTCGTCCGGTCCGCCCAGGGAAACGTACAGCTGCGCCACCTCGTCGCCCACCACGTCGCCCGTGTTCGTGATCGTGGCAAACACCGTATACATTGTGTCCCACAGCTGCGCGTTGCCGCCGTTGGGTCCCGACGCCGGCAGCTTGGGCTGCGCCGAGCCGTCGAGCGCACCAGGGGGCAAGAACTCCTCCGCCGTCAGCCCGTAGTCGGGATCGGCCAGCGCCTCCACAGGGTCCGACGAGTTGAGGTACGGGTAGATGTGTTGGTAGACGTAGGAAAACTCGTCAGACGGGAACACGTAGTCCTCGTAGTCCTGGCTGTAGTTGCCCCCGAACCGCGGCGCCGGCGCCGTCTCGCCCGCCGTGGGCTTGTACGGACGAGGGTCCTTCTTCTCGACCCGGAGATCGGAGAACTCAAAGCTGGTGTACGAGAGACCGAAGCCAAACTCGAACACCGGAGCCTTCTCGTTGCCGTCGGCGTGCGTGACGCCCATGTCGTCGTCCTCCGTCTGCTTGTCGAACCACCGGTAGTCGACCAGGACGCCCTCGGTGAAGTCGTCCTGCGGCGCGCCGTTGCCATTGTTGGGCTCGGTCAGCACCTTGACGCCGTAGCTCTCCTCCGTGGGCCCCCACGTGAACGGCGTCTTGCCGCCCGGGTTGACGCGCCCGTACAGGATGTCGGTGATGGCGTTGCCGGACTCCTGCCCGGGCAGCCCGGCCCAGACAATGGCCGTAACGTTGGGGTTCTGGTACCAGTCCGTGACAAGGACGGGTCCCGTCGAGTGGACGACCACGATGGTGTTGGGGTTGACGCCGGCCACGCGCTTGATCAGCTCATCGCCGCCGTTCCACAGAGTGAGGTTGTTCCGGTCGCCCCGGTTCCCGTCGACCACCATGTACCCCTCGCCCGAGTTGGCGTTGACGAAAACGATGGGCGTGGCGTCGGGCTCCGACACGAGCTTGACCGTGGCGTCGTCCGCCCAGTTGCTGAGGATGCTCTCGTAGCGGGAACCGTCCTCGAGCGCCCTCTTCTGCAGGGCGCTGTCGGGAGTGACGAGGTAGGGGAAGCTAGCTGTGCCCGAGCCCCATCCGGCAGCCAGAGTTCCGTCGTTGCAGCCCTGGTCGGCGCAGCCGTTGGGGCCGACCGAGCGGGGACCGGCATCTTCTCCGACGACGGCCACAAACTTGGGCTTGTCGAGCGGCAGAGCGCCCTCGTTCTTCAGCAGAACCGTGCCGCGGGCCGCGTCGCTCCGGATCATGTCGCCGTGGTTCTCACGCACGTCGATATGCTGGTTGATGACCCGGACGTCCTCGTTGGCGGCGAAGTGGACGGGGCCGACGGTGTCACGCGTCCAGGACGAGAAGTTCACCTCTTCGACCTCGTCCAGGGAGTTGCCGACCTTGAACCAGGCAGCGAGGATACGCATGGCCATGTCGTCGAGACGGTGCTCGGGCACGGTGCCGTTGAGAACGGCATTGGTCAGGTTGGCACCCCAGAAGGAGACACCCGAGTTGAAGACGGTGTCACCGGGCATGGTCATGTCGAGGCCGGCGACGGCGGTCGCGGCACCGGCGTGCTGGGCTTGCCAGTCACTGAGCACGAAGCCCTGGAAACCCATCTCCTGCTTCAGGATGCCATTGAGCAAGTACGAGTTCTGGCAGCCGTAGCTGTTGTTGATCTGTCGAGCGGCACGATGGTTAGCAGAAAGAAGCGGCACATTATGTCTAGGTCTCGGGGAAGCTTGCCTGCTGGTAGGAGCACATGATGCTACCTGCGCCGGCGCGGATGGTATCGGCAAAAGGCCACAGGTAGACCTCATGCATGGTCCTGTCATCGACATTGGAGGACAGACTCTCGGCAATATCAAAACCGTAGCCGCGAGCCTCGCCGGCTTGACGGAAGTGCTCTGTGGAAGGAAGGCGCGAGGTAAGTAACGAGGCGAGGCCGGGGAAGATCGGGATTGTACAAGTATAGAAACCAGAAACTCACCTTGCTCATTGACGATGAAGTGCTTTACGTTGGCCACGACACCAGCATCTTGAATGCCCTTCACCGTCTCGGCGGCAGCAACACCGGCGAGATATGGATCGGTGCCAAAACCCTCCCAGTTCCGTCCGGCAGCAGGTAACCGGCCAAGAGGACCAATGGAAGGGCCCAGAAGCACATCGACGCCCTTCCCCTTTGCCTCGGCGGCCATGGCGTTTCCACGCCGATAGAGGAGGCCACGGTCAAAACTGGCTGCGGCAACCTGGCTGGATGTGAAGTAGGAGACGTAGTCGGCAAAACGAATGCCCTGGGGACCGTCTTGCATACAGAGACCGCGCCAGCCGAGGCGAGGGATGGAGCCGACGTTGCCAACGCAGAGGTCGCCCATCCAGCCAACACCGGTAGTCAGGTTGACCTTCTCGAGGAGGGTCATGTCCTCGACAACAGCCTTGGCCTGGGCGTAGGCGGTTTCCCAGCCCTTGGCTTCGGGATCCATCCACGGGGACGGGTAGTAGGGAGGTGAGTAGGCGAGACCGGCGTTGGTGTCATTTTGTCGCTGGTGATTGTAGGCGTTAGCGCGAACGAAGAAAACTAGGACGAGGAGTTGAAAAACGAGTGACAGTGGGGCCATGACAACGTGATGTAGGTGTGGAAGAAAAGATAAAAAACGAATGCAATGCGAGCAATGAAGAAAAGGATGATGCTGGCTGATGCTAGTTGAAATCTATGCCGTCCTGGTGATTTCAAGATGGCAATCAAGACGAGAGGATCGCGAGGAGGCGGGGGAGAAGTGAACAAAGAGGCGGGCGTTGCATGGTTACATAGAAAAGCCAGAGGTTCATGCAAGGTGGTCAGGGGTGGTAGAAGGTGACGAGAAGAGTCCCAGACACCCACAGAAGCCCCATCACGGACTCCTCTTTCCGACTCTTGTTGGACCGCGGGGGGGTACCGAGGATGACGACGACAAATGAGACGTAGAGTTAAGAACAGAATGCTGGTGAACCAACCTTAATGTGAGGCACGCCAGCCACAGGGCCAGCGACTGCCAGGAGAGCAGTCAAGAGGGAGGGAGACTTCATGGTGAAGCGAAGATGTCCCAGTCGCTATGTCCCAGTCGCGACTGTTGTTGTCGCACAAAGGAGCAAACTGAAATTCTAACCAATGGGGAGGACGAATTGGAATTTAATATTGGCCCCAGAGTATAGCGTACGAATAGACGCGACTCGGTTTTCTCGGAAAGGGGTGAACAAAGAGGGAAGGGAGGACGCAAGAATGGATGTGTCTCGCCCGTGATGCCCGCTGTGAGCCTGTGATTGTTGTGAGACACTCCAAAGGGCACGACAGCACGCAGAGAAGGGAGGGACGAACGATGATTTATACACATAAACAGTGGGTTGAAAATAATGTGTGAACAAGTGGGGAATGGTTGGATTTCCCGTTTGCTCCGAGTCGACTGACGACGAGAAAAGGGGAGCGAACGCCGATCACGATGGGGGAAACCCGGCTGGAATATGCGAAGATGCGAGAGATAATGGACAAAAACCCGGTCAAGGTACCGTCGAGGTAGTCGTAAGTGTAGTGGGGAGGTGGGTATAGGTAGCGTAGCCGGCCAAGGGGCGTGGCCGCGGCGGCGTGCTTCGGGAGGGAGTCGGGCGATCGAGCCGTGGTCCGTTGACCGTATTCGTAAGTGTAGACCGTGGCCCCGGACGGGCCATGACGATATCCGCGGCGTGGAGTTGTCAGTTGCTTTGCCACACCTATTCGGGTAGTCTCCTGCGACAGGTGAGTAAGGTGGAAAGTCTTGACGGGAGCCACTGGACAGTGGACCCCGTGGCCAGCCCTCTGACTCGGCATACCCAGTACCGCGTACATACACCAAGAAAGGTAATGAGAACGGAACGTGAACGTGACTTGAAGTTGCTGTACGACTGTGTCACGTATCTTCCCGATGTCGTGGGACACTTGGCGGGGCGCCTGGCTGGCAGCCTGGCTCTGACCTGGCTTGTGCTTCCCTCGCGGCAATCGCCCCGGTCTCCGGCCTCCCCATCCCCACCGCCCAGAAACGATCTGTAGTGGAGCCGCATCTTCAAGAACCTGGAAGGTTGTTGCCATTTCTGTTTCTGGTCTGCTTGCGTTGTTGCTGTGGACCGTCGTCACCGGTGTCTTGTGGTGTGTCCGTGTCGTGCCTGCAGCCGCAGGTCAGTAACCGGGTTCGGGCTGACCAACCCTCCAGGTCCAGGAAAGGGGGCATGGGGCTGTCCAAATCGTCAGATATTATGGGAGCATCGACCGTCGAGAGTCGAGTGCGTTGAAAGAAGAAGAAATGGACCTTCTCGGTTTCCATGCCGTGAGGTCCCAGTCCCTGTTCCTGTGGCTTGTACGTTGTAAACGGGGACCGGGTCGGATGGCACTTGACTGAATTTTTAGGGCTTCGCGTCGGGAGGGTGGGAAGGGGGAAGGCAAGGGGGCTAGTCAAGTCGGTGGGGCACAGTGTCCCCGGAGTACGAGAAGGGCCGATGACGATGCGGATGCAATGTAGAGTGGGTCGAGGAAGGTAACACTCGCTGAGGTACATAAGGCACGAAGTATCAAGTCCTCGACTGCCTCTGTGTCGCCGACTTGTATGGCACTGCATACCTAAGGTACCTACCTTAGGTAAATAACTAAGGTGAGGTACCTTAGCTTAAGGTATGGTAGGCATATAGGTCGGCACTGCTAGACATGTCAGGAACGTACAGTATACCGGCAGCGAACAGTCGTACACATTCTAGTATTCTAGTATGTACGAGATAGCAGAGAGGGCCAGACGAATTGTGGAGGGCGGTGGCATCGAATTCCCGAGATGATGATGGGCCAAAGGCCAATCTAGATAACATCTGCCAGCGTTTCAGGGAAAGAGAAGCAACCTGGAAGCCTACGACCAAGGTACTGAGTACGGTATGGTAGGTACGACTAAGGTAAGGCACCTACAGGTGCGCTTCTGGGACGACTTCGGGACTTCTCCATCGACCAATGGCCCAATTGCCGGCGAGGATGCGGCACTCTGTTATGCGGGGGAGGAGCGCCTTTCCCGTTGTTTCCCCTCACTCGGCACTGGGGCCACTGAGTGAATCCAGACGGCCCCACGATCCAGAAGTACTTGTTTACTAAGGTAAGGTACTTCAATGCGTACACCGCACCGCGTCCGCCCATTGCACTGCATCCCATTCTCATCCGATCAACGATGTCTTCTGTCTTTTTTGTAGAACCTACAGTCTGCATAAGGTACCAAGTCGAAAATTCAGTTATGAATATTTGTTCGTCTTTAGTCTAGGCCTTCGAGAATCGAGTCAGGTCGGTCATGCCGAAGCTGGTTGCTGTACCGCACATCGAAGGGAGGGAAAAATGCCGGTTCATGAGAAGATCACGGGAGCACTGAATGGAATGACCCCGTCACTGAGACGCCTCGAGATTAGACCCTCCCGTTACATTAAGGTTGAGTCCGTGTCATCCAACGGAAAGCCCCATTAATCGAGGTTGCTCTGCCACGCCTGGAGAGCTAACGTAAGGTAGCGGTGCCGTGCCGCAGCATAAGAGACCGGTCGGCCCCTTTTCTCTAAGTGGGTGGGTCGTGCTAGGTACGATAGATTGTGATGTACCTACCCAAACAAGGAAGAAAAAAATAAAATAGAAAAAAGAAAGAAACCTCGATGTTTTGCTTCTCTGCTCGAAGTCTGCAAGAGTACCTTAGTATGCCAATGTCGCCCATATTCGACCTGCACCAGCGGCAAATATACTTGAACTGATCCTCTCTTGCGGTCTGATGTATCTGATATGTACATGAAGCTACAGCAGGCCGCCGGCGGGGATGGGAACTAGGTGGCCCTGGACCGATATTCCCATGTCACGTCTCCCGCGCGCGACGGCCATCGAGTCAGCTTAGCCGGAAGCCTTGAGAAACTCTATTTTCCCACAGTTGACTCGCGACGCCGGAGTCCCGGCGAACTCGCATCAACTACCAAGATCTCGGGTCCAGAGTCACGCTGTCATCTGCAATTCTGCTGATCCCGGACGTTGGGAGGTGTAGGAAGGTAACCTTGAAGAAGGGGGAGTAGAAGATTAGGTGAGAACTCCACGGGGAATAAAACGTCCAATTTTCGCCCGTGAGACGCAAGGTACAAGACACCGTTGATCGGATTATTGGACAAGGAGACGCTGGTCCGTTGAGTAGAGCGGAACCACATCAAGCATCACATGTGGAATAACTGGAGTGGAAATTCAATGTATATGTCAACTGAATTGCGTATGTAGCAAGTGGCATGGTTGATGTTTTCACATTATTACGTATTACTAAACAAGTACGAATACATTAGATGGTGAGTTCATATCAACTCGAAAGAGTGCACGTGTCAGCCCCCAGGGTCGGTGTGCCCGGTGACCACCTAAGAAGAAAGTCCGTTCCGTTCCCGTCTGTACGCCATACGCACAGGTCTGACTCGTCCCACCAAAAGTACACACTGGGCCAACTCCAGTGACACGTTGTTGCTGACGCGTAGTAGACACCATGCATCCTTCTCTCACAAGCAGATCTCGCCTCCCTCACCGGGCAGGAATGTAAAGGAAGACAGTCGAAAAGGAAGAAAGTGAAGAACGGTCCAGAATCAGGCCCCATCGACAAACCGGATGCCGAGACTAAAGGATGCCCTAATAAACGCCCGGCAAGATCCTCCACCGGACAATCTTCTTGTACTTCTCCCAATCGTCGCCATACTTGCGCGAGCACTTCTCGTCGTCGCGGCGGTCGCGATGGATGAGAAGGATGGCAAAGTAGAGCACGTAAAAGTAGGTGATGGGAATGGCGAAGCCCCTCGCAGCGCCCTGGACGACCTCCCGGCCATCGAGCGTCTTGAAGGCGCCCTCGACACCGGCGTCGACGAGCCCCGTCCCGGCCGAGAGGATCTGGTAGCCGGCCACGCCGGTGGGCAGCGAGTACGGCCAGGCCTGCAGCCAGTCGCCCAGGTAGTTGATGTGGCGGGCGATGCCCCACCAGCCCGAGGTGATGAGGCGGGTGCCGGCCTTGGTCTCGAGGTACTTGAGGTGGGCGACGCGGGGGTCGTTGGGGTTGGTGCGGAACATGTTCTTCTGGCTGTTGGAGGCGCGGAAGATGTAGAAGGCCAGGGAAATGACCACGGCGATGGAGGAAAACTCGACGGCGTTGAGGTGGACCGGGTACGTGGACAGGTAGCGGGTCTGGGTGGAGTAGATGAAGGGCACCCAGACGAGGTCGCCGAAGGAGAGCATGAAGCCGAAGCCGTCGGTGGTGATGTCGATAGTGGTCAGGATGGCGGGCTCGTTGTACCAGCAGTCGACGACGTAGAGCAGCTGGATGGCCGAGATGAAGACGATGCTGTTGGAGACGAAGCCGAAGGTACGGTACTGCTTGGCCACGAAGGCGAAGTTGAGGACGGACCAGCCCAGCAGGCCGGGGCGGACCTCCATCCACTGCTTGATATCGATCTCGCCAATGATGGGCACCACGACGCGCGGGTTGAGCTCCCGGCCGATGAACCAGTCGTAGATGATGTTGCCGCTGGCGCCTCCCTCGGCCAGCTCCCGATTCTCCTTGTTGCCGGGCTTGACGCTGAAGCTGCGGACGTACACGAAGGTGGCCAGACCGAAAGCGATGAGCATGTTGGCCGTGAGGATGGGGATGTAGTTGTCGGCGATGTACACCCAGACAGGCCACTCGGCGCCTTGGGCGAGGGTGCCGGCGAGACAGATACTAATGATCACCAAGTTGGAGGAGAGAGCTATTATTATTTCGCTGTCAGTCGTCTCGTCGCGAGAAGGGCGAACAGAAAGAGGGGCTTTTGTTGGTCGGCCTACAATTGAATCGGTACTTCAGCCTCCCGCCGGAAGCGAGGATAACACCCTCCGCCTCGATAGCGGGAAGGAAACGATAGAGGAGTCCGTTGAGGAGATAGTAGCCCAGTACCGCGAGGGTGGCGTTGACGCTACCCAGGCCCAAGATGCCTTCTTCCGGCCAGCCAACTTCCTGCTTAAATTGTTCGAGGCTAAGATTCCGAGGGTCGAGCAAAGACGGCGCGGGACAGCCCGTTACATCGTTGCAGCTGAAGGCGAAGAAGTAGACGAGGACGGGGAGGATGACGGTAATTCCGAAGGTGCCGATGCTGGATAATACTTGGTTAGCTCTGAATGCTCAATTGTCTAGGGTATTGCATTTGCAGAAGGCAAGGAGCAACGCTACATACGGGCCTCCAAAGTGGTAGCCATGGGGTGGCGCCTTCGAGGCAGATTGTTGGGATTTCGGGGCCATGTTTTCCGATCACGTTCGTAACGGCGGAGGAGGAGTGGTTTCGAAGGAAGAATGGGGGACAAGGGTTTTACTGGCCGCAGCCTTGGTTGGAAAGCGATGGATCTCGACGTTTCGCGTCGCGTCGTGCACCAGGGCGCTTCTTCTTGCTCGTCTTTTCCCGCGGGCAACGCAAGTTCTTCAAGTTGACGATGTGCCGACGTTGGCGACGTTGGGGTTCATTCACGTCAGTCAGACCACCGCGGGATAGGAAAACCCGGATTGCCAAGCGCAGAGGTTTGTCCCGGAGAACGAGACATCCGGATGGGCTGAGAGGGAGGGGAGATTGAGTAACGGAGAAACCACTTCGATGATGCGACGATGTTGATTGGACCAGAGGTCTTGTCGAAAGAAAGGGGGACTTACGAATCTCCGGCTCTTCGCCAGGGTCGGTGGTACCCTGGTCTAAGGTAGCGAATGAGACAGGCACAGTTTATTACATAATCGTATTATGTACCCAGGGTAGGTACTTATCGGGCGACGACGACAGCGACGGCGAAGACGACAGCGATGGCGATAACAACAACAAAGCCAAAAGGTAAATTATCGTACTTCAGCTTCGACCTCTACCTTATTTAACGTGATGGATATTCAGCCTAAGGTAGAGACAAGGTGTGAATACTGTCTTGTTTATTTGAAATTTTAAGGTACTTATAGTGCTATAGCATTATAGGAGAGTATCGGAGCTCCGACAAACACGATAAAAAAAAGCACTTGGCTCCAAACAGAATCGAACTCCTTCGAAGCACCGTTCTTAGGAAGCCAGAACCACCAATGCACCCTACGCATCACAAAGCCATGCAAGACCGTCATGGCAGCCTCTATAAACCATAGGAAAAGGCGAAGGCCGAGTCCGGCAGCGAGCGCAAAAGCGTATGCCGGGTTATTTTTGAGAAGGTAGTCGTCGAAGAGGCGAAAGAGGGCGTAAACGAAGGACCCCCAAGCCCATAAAGCAGTATAGATGAATTCGTCCCGTTGAACAGCCCGATAATGTGGTCTGAACACTGCTCTAGCGCTGCCATCGAGGGCTAGGAGACTTAGCTGAAGCATCCCATGGTTTACCGAGACACACTTCTGAGCATATTCGTCCTGGCCCAGAAGTGAGCCAAGAAGAGATCCCTCCGCCGAGAGCAAGATGCAGCGGCACAAGTTGCCATAGAGGTAGAATATGGTGTGCATGAGTAACGTCCAGAAGATACAGAGCCCGGCCGGATCCGGATAGTCACTCTTGTTCTCCTGAGGAACGAAGAATAACCGAAAAGGGAAAAATGGGTAGGCGAGAATTGGCAGGACTGCCGCAGTGCCGGCCAGGACCTCGCGGGTACTTCCAAAAATGATGAAAAGCAACTTGGAAGCTGCATCAACCATTGTAACCGGTGCCATTGTGTTCCAGTGGTCTAAGGATGTGGAAAGGTCGATGGGGAGGAGACACGAATAAGAAATAGAAAGGACTCAAGGAGTACGGGGAAAATGGGAGGCAAGGGCCGGGGGGGGCAAGGACAAGGCATATATAGGGAAAGGACGAAGGGGAGAAGAAAGGAAAAGAGTAAGGTACCTAGGCAGGAAAGAAAAGCAAAGAAAGGAAAGAAAAGAGTATCAGGAGTCCAGAGCGTAAGGTAGTAAGTTACGAGTTACTTTCATCTTAATACGTCATCATGTTCACCACATGTTCGAGTCTATAAGATTGAGGAAGGTAAGGGCGTCGTGTAAACAGCCAGGTTTCAGCCACGAGGCGAAACTCTCTAAGGTACCGTAGGTACCTTACCGGGAAAATATAGGGGAAAGGTACAGTTATATGCAGTTATACTGACCGGCGAGAGTTACTAAAAAATTTATCGTAACTATCAGATAAACAGTTACTAAATTAGTAATAGTTACTAGATAGGTTAATCGTTATAGAATTTTCTGCCGTTACGCGGCTTAAAAGTGGGTTAATACGGTTAATATTACTAGGTACGTACTCGTCACTTTTTAGAAGCGCCTTAACGTCTATTAGCTAGTAAGTAGAAAACTATGATTAGTGGTAATTTTCTCTGCCTACCTAAACCTTAAGTTCAACCACCTTAACTAACCTAACCATCGCTAACACCCGACTCAAGTTCTATAATAATTACCACCCTCCCTCCCTCCACCTAACTAAGTTCCCGTTAATAGTACTCCCCCGCACCTCTAATAATAGACTCCAAGTCTTCCTTCGTACCCAGGTGCTAATCGTGATATATACGGCCTACCTTATTAATAACGACTTAAGCGTTCTAGGTTCTATTATTAGTTAGGTGGGTGGTTATACGTCTAGAAGGTAGACTAGGGTAACTTACCACGGGCGATATAGGCAGGTACCGAAGGTATAGATAATCTCTAATTATAATTAGTGTTATTAGCTGGCTAGTCGTTAGTTATAAACTAAAACCTAGAAGGTAGTAAGTGGCCTAGGGTGGGTAACCTACCGTATATCATGTGCTAAAGTCGAGGCTAAGGGATAGTATAAGGCGGGCAGTTTCAGATCTAAAGACACTTATCTTAGTAAGTAAGGTAGACTTCTATTTATACAGATAAGGAATATAGGAGAAAAGGACTGCCTTACCTAGAGCCACTCGACTTACAAATTCACCTAAACTACCGTATCGCTATCGATACGCACGATATAGAGCTTAGTGGGTAAGATTAAATTAATACCGATAATCAGGGGTTTATAGTATTAGTACTCGACTTTCGGTAGACCTAAGATTTCTTCCTTATAGTTAAGGATAGTGATAGGGGTAATAATTATAAAGATCCGCTTTCTATTATCCAAAACCTTAATCGAACAGATAAAGATCTGGTTAATCCGGCTAATTTTATCGTCGTGATACTTAACGTGGTCGCCGCGTGCAAAGATATATCGCCGGAAGTTCCTACTATAGGGGTATAGTCGATAGGTTAGTAAGGGACACTATAATAAGATATTAAGGGATGTGATAAGATATAGAGGGATATAATAAGATATTAACACCACCCCACTTTTATTAATAAGGCGCTATAATAATAATTCTAGTAGCAGTAGCAAACTTCCAGCCTCGATATCTTGACGGCGCGCCGATACGCCGTAAAAAGAATATCTTCCAAAAGATAAAGTTACGCGGATAGCATCGATAAAAACAGGGGAGTATATAATAATAATATAAAATCCAACTTATATTTTCTGTTAGGGAAGGTAATTATCGCTAAAGCCTTATCGGGATACCCTAAAATAGCCTTTATACTAGTAGATTAGCTAGTAAGTATTAACATACCTGTCTATAAAGCCTAGCTTACTAGACCACTAAATACCCCGGCTTCTAAAGTCGTAAATCTCGTCTATATAGTATTCGTCCCTATACGCCCGCCGTAGTGCCCGTTTAAACGAATCAGATATACTAGTATACCGGGTAGGTAGTAGTTTATACCCGTTATTAATAAAATAGTGCGTGCGCCGGACCTCGGTTACTAGAACGCGACTAATAATAGTAGCCCTCCGGTAGCTAGTATCGCCGCTAGAAAGTAAATCGAGCTCGGCGTCTTCCTTATTAAAAAGCATATCTCGCTTATCTATATAAGGTAATACGTTATCGAATAGGGTAGGGTAGTCTTAGTAGAGTCGGGCTATTTATTAGGTAAGCTCGCTATCTCGTTCGTAGAAGGAGTTCCTAAGGATAAGGCGGATAGTGATTTATATATTAACCTTTATTAATAAGAGTCGTTCGACGTTTATATAGTTTATCTCGTACACCTTTTTCTTAAACTATCTATAAATAGGGCAATTAGTGAGTACCTGTAAAGTAATAGATAATACTAGGGGGCGGGCGGGCGGGTAAGGGTAATACCCGAGGTAGGGTGCCTAATACCTAAGGTAAGGTAAGGTGCGGAATAACTTCAGGTTCTATTCCAGGTTCTTTATAGAAGACACAGCAAATTACTATATTCTAATTTCCACCCTTACACCTTAGGAAACCCACCTCATCTCACCTTAGGCCGTAATACCTATACTAACCGGTGCTAAGTTTCTTTAAATAACGTGTCTATATTAATAGGCAGGGCGTATTCTTCCGCGATAACAGGGTAATAAACGCCTATATATATATTCGGCCGCGTTATATTATAGGTGTATTATATTACACGTTTAGGAGCTATTACCTGCACGTTATCCTATTCCTCGATAGTTAGACGTGGTATATCCTATTCTACTATTAGTATAGGTAAGGTAAGCTATTAGGTGAGTCTACCTTAGTTATTATGCCGATAGGCACTTACCCAGAGGTAATATCGGAAACTATCTCCTAGGAGAAGGCGGGGGCGGTATTATTAACTACTAGCGGCTTATAGGCATTATTAACTAGCGACTTATTAACTAACGACTCCCGATAGTACTCCACGCTTAAGGATTCGATATAATCGACTGCGAAGCTATTTAATAAAGCTGCTAATACGAATAATGGGAGGCTATAATAATATCTAGTATATTATCGCGGTTAGCCTTCGAGACGCTTAAGCTTATAAGGACGCTGTTAGACTTAGCCAGCTTAGTATATACCTGAATCACGAAGTTAACAACCTCGGAAGGATTACACTATAAGCCGGGGCCGTATTATAAGCGGGCATAAGCTATCTTCATAAACTATAGATAGATATACTTAGGTTCTAGCTAAGCCCGTAGTAATATAAGGACTATAATAGACTATCGTGTATCTATAGCTAGAGAGTAGCTACGTAGGTAGTAGATAGGTGACTATAGATGCTCCTAGCTAGGCGGGAATAGCTATATACGGAGCTATTACGTATACTCCTTTTTGCCCGTTTCTATAAGGATACTATCGATTAGAAGGGCATACATTAATTCTACCAGGCCTTAATACTCCGAGTATACAGGATCAGGGGGTCGAGAGAGGATTAAGTCTAGGGCAGGTATTAGGCTTACTAAGGGCGGATCCGACTCGCCGATACCCTAAGTCGTTCCGTATTAGTTACGGTTAGTGGCTATCTGGAAGTTCGATATATCCGTCCGTATCTCGATATATTAGTAATAGTATCTGCTATATATTATAATATCGAAGCTAAGGATCGTATCAGGGTTACCTGACTTTATAGCCTATTCGCTGATATAGCAGAAACGATAGAATTTATAAGCCTTAGAGCCTCGAAACCCACTGTTTTTATCCTGCTACGGCATATCACCCAGGTAGCAGAGCGTGGGCATAATAACAATCTTTTCTATACCGTTAATTATCTTACTAACGCCTTTATCTAGTACACCGAGTGACCGTAAAGCGTAGACGGTATCGTCGAAGTTAGATCTATACGGGCTAAGGGTAATAGGGAAGATATTAGTCTGACGATAACGGTCCTCACCCAAAAGTCCCGTAATAATAGCGTACACTCTAATTAACGACCTATACGAGTTACGGTATAAGCTAAAGCTGTTAATGAAATAGAGGATTAGACAGGATATAACCGAGTTAGAATCTCACTCCTCGAATATAGCCCTGCTATAGGTTATAATCTCGAGTTTAGCACGGATAGGATAGGTATAATATAGAGGGATAATCTGAAACCCTCGAACGATCCGCTTAACGACGAGTGGGCTATTACGAATAGCCTCTTTAACGGTCTTAGGTAAGTGCTTTAGGAAATTTCTCTCCTTCCGCTTCCCTTTACCACCGTGTGGCTTCTTTACTATCAGGCTAGGGTCTTCGAGAGTCTTACCCGTATAATAGTCGCACCGTATAACAATAAGCCGCTGGATAATATGCTCTTTAGGCACCTAGGTGATCTGCTTGGTTAATGGGAGCTTATTACTATCTTAAGCAGGGTCTAGTATAGGTAGTGGATATCGAGGGATTAGTGTGATAGGTCGCCTGTCCATAAGACCGAAGGCCTCTTGAACCTGAAGAATAATGCCACCGGTCGCTTCTGTATAATTACGGTAATCGAGTCCGACTACACGCACACGGCCGATATACCCTATAGAAGGGTTTTCTGTAGATATAAATTAATAACTATAGGTCTCTACCGTATAATAGAAGATAATAAAATCCGAGGGCAGTACTATATCGACCTCGTTACCTTCGGCGTCGATAATATATGCAAAATGACCCGATATCGTACGTGCAGAAGATACCTAGCTTAAGGATTCATAGAACTCAGTCGGTATATTAATAAAGTAAGCGAGGCCTTAGTGCATAGACTGTATTATATCGGAGGAC